AGACCAGAGCATCTTTAATTAAGTGTGTCAGCCCCAGTGGAAGCCGCAGAGTTCAATGCTAATAAAGCTGATAAAGGTTTTTGTTTCCCAGACTTCTTTTATTTAATGCCTCAACCATGTTAAGTCAATCTGTAACATATGGGCAGTTCTCCCACTATGGATTTATCATTTGGGTGTTTCTTTCTGTGAATTAATGCAATCAAACTCCTGCCAGTGTTAATTATTTTTTCTCCAAGAAGCAAATCCCAGAATTTAGCAATAACCAGCTGCGATTTACTGCTGGCAGTATGGTAGAAATGATGGACTCATGCTGTCTGCCACCACCCCAGGCAGACTTAGAAAGGCTTCTGTGCTCTGGGACTGACCTCAGCATCCACTGCTTCCAGACACAGGCAGCTTTTTTGGCATTTGCCAATCCCACCAGCCCATCTAGAAGCATAGATGCCAAGGTTTACAATAAACCGCCCTTCCAGAAGTTTTGCTTGTCACTAGGGAACTCTACATGGCAGACCCTCTCAGGTAGAATATACTGCAGGTAGAAGTAGAGACTAGAGAACTTACACACGAGCCAAACAACACAATCTGCACAGAATCCTTTATAAGATATAGCTAACAGAACCAAATCCCTCAAGACTAAACTTCTGACCGCTAGACCTTTGTAGTGCCCTTCCCAGTAGCTGAAATAAAATGTATTTGTATATCTGAATACATTAGACCCACCCCCAAACAACTTTTTTTTAAGTCACTTAAAAAAGGAAAGGCTTTTCCCAATTTGCCCATGAACTTGGATTCATTCATCCTCCAGGTCTTGACTTAAATGTCACTTTTCTCTGTCCACCCCCATTTAACAAGTTCTCATCTACACTGAAATCCTGCCTCAGATTCCAATTTCATTCAAAGACCTTGTCATAGAATCACAATTATCTACTTTGCTTATTCATTTGGTTACTTATTTATTGCATGCCCTCCTTCCATGGTATATTAAATTCCTGAGATGGGGGTCACATAGACATATTTTCTGCTGCATCCCTAGGTCCCAATATACTGTGGAAGATACAATAGGTGCTGAGTAGATAGTATATCATGAATGGATAATAAAGTAGCAAGTCTTGGTTTGCATCTGAAATATTATAGGTTCCAGGTAGCTTCAATGATTCTTTTGACTATTGATTAGGGGAGTCATCCTGCAGTCATAAATAGGACAAAAGAAAGAGTAACAATAAGAAATAATATGCAGTCATACTAACTAAATGAGGTGGATCGGAATTTAGAATGAACAAACTTGGATTTCAAGTCTGGCTGTGTAACCTCAAGTCATTTTCCCTCTCTGAATTTGTGTTTCTTTATCCATAAAAAATAAACATAATCATCGCCAAGGAGATATGAAAGTGTAGTTGGTGACCAGTATAACTTCAATAAATGTTCTTTAGATCTAACAGGAGGAAAACCAATCTCAGAAGAGGAAAGGGGTTGTCCCTGAAGATATCCATATGTGACAGTAAATAAACACCCAATTGAAGTCGTGCATGTGTGGCACAGGCCCACATGAATGAAGACAAATTCTCAACGAGGTACATATTGCTGAAGACCTTCACCATAGCTTCATTTGTCAATGCATAAAGAATGTTCCTAATTCTTTAATATGTACTTTTAAAGTAGGTAGAAAGCAGAAAGTCTAAATTACCTTCAAATTTACCTTCACATCTCTTTTCACTCACTCTTGCATTGCTCGATTTCCCAAAAAGCCTTGGTTGTTCATGGACTTTGGCCTTGTATTGCCAAGGGGACAGTGGCATAAACACCACAGGACTTTCATAGGATAACAGGTGAGTGTGGGTCTGACTAGTTGAAATCCAAAGACTGTCCATTTCCCTGCGTTTCTTGTTCATAGGAGGGAAATACTAAGACTTCTAGGAAGCAGAAACCTCAAAGGAAGAAGAAAACTATCATATCTACATTTGAGGTTTCAAATGAGCTGTGTACCTTACAAACATCACCTGTCATAAACTAGCTGAGAGGGGAGAATAAAGAGGTAGCAAGCACAAGGAGCAAAGGTCCAAAACCAAAAGCATTTTCTATGTAATCATCCGTTATCCTTTTGACACAAATTCATTTATTTTGTGCAAGGCAAAGACCTCCTGTTTTGTGAGCGCTCTAACACATAAAGAGAAAGGGAAGAGTTATGCTCCTCTTAACACATATCCAGGAAAGTAGAATTATAGAAAACTATCCCTCTGAATGAGTTCAAATTCTCGAGTCTGTGATGCTTTAGCTGAGAAGCCCAAGCGGAAGGGAGCTGACCGTCAAAACCTAAGCCCATGTTATTTTACCCTCTCCTCTCTGGCCTCTTCGTGCATGGCAGAGTCTGGTCTTTACACCAAACCCAAAGCACTGAACAGGCCAGGCTCATGCTGCTGATGCCCCAGGGCATCCTCAAAGCTTAGCATACCATTGCCCATGCCATTAGGGTTCAATGGCATTGGGGTTCAATTATTCACTCATGGCTGGATAAATCTTTCATTAGGTTCCAAACATGATCATTCTTGTTTTTTTTATCTTATTTATATCTTTTACCTCATTGTTCATTATTGCACACTGTATGCTAATATGCTTTCTCCTTTTAGGTGTATTCCCTGTAACATTCCCACCACCAACTCACCCGTGAACCATCACCATCCCTTGTCCCCCTCCCTCACAGCATGTCTCTGATTTTGGTTGCCTGCTAATGTTGTTGTTTTTTCAGTTTTTTTTTTCCTGATCTCTTATTTGGTTCCCCTATATTCCTCCTATAAGTTAAATCATCTGATTTTTTTTCCTTTTGCCTTATTTCACTGAGCATAGTTCCTCAAAATACTAAAAATGGAGCTACCATATGACCCAGCAATTCCACTCCTAGGAATCTACCCAAAGGGTACAAAAACATTAATTCAAAAGATACCTGCATGCCTATGTTTATTGCAGCACTATTTCCAATAGGTAAGATATGGAAACAACCCAAATGTCCAAAAATAGATGACAAGATCAAGAAGATGTGGTATATACAGACAATGGAATAGTATTCAGCAATCAAAAAAGATAAACTTGGGGTCTCCCTGGTGACACAAGGGGTTAAGCACAGCACTGTGAAGCAATCTGCAGCACAAGTTCGATCCCCAGCCAGTGAGGTAGCTACCCACATGGCGCAGCAGACCTCTCCTGACTCGCCCGCTGCTCCCCTCAGCAGTGTACTTTGGTCAATCTGCCTGTTCTGTTCCCCACTCTGTCTCTGGTGAATCCTCTCACCCCCACATCTCTGGCCTGTACCCCAACTCTTGTATGCATAAATAAATAAATCTTTAAAAAATAGATAAACTCATGCCATTCACAGCAATATAGATGGAGCTAGACAGGATCATTCTTATTTTTAAAGTAGCTTCTTCCTCTTCCCAGGCCACAACAGGTAGATCAGGTTCTCACATTCCTGGTCACTCCCTCCCTGTCCTAATCATCCCAAAGCCAGTTTTCAGACAACTAGAAGCCCCAACACCCAGAGCCTGATGAAATTATTTAACCTTGCCTCACCCATTCCTTTCCTCAGACCATAATACAGGCTGTCATCCATGTGTTCCCCTTGTGCTCTCTAGCTGCTTGTAGGTCCCTGTGCCTCCCCACATGGCCCGTCTGCATGGCACACACACCTCCTGTCTCCAGGCTTTCCTGAATTTAAACATCTCTCTCACAACAGCTAGTGTGCCTTATACATCATAGTAAACACATCCTGTATCCCCTTAAATCAGTCACCTAAAAATATGGAGCAGAAGTAGAGGGAATACACGGAAGAGATCAATGGATCATAAGCACCTAATCAAAGCTTGCTATCATCATTAATGATGACCTTCATCTCATGTCAATGGGACAACAGTGAAAACTTCTAAACAAGTAAGCAGCATGATTGGCATTATAGAAAACGTCTTCTGAACTCTTCATGTTATAGGGCAACCCCAATATAAAAACGGGTTGCCTGGCTGTGGGTCCTCACCCACGCACTTTTTCCCCCTAACAATCAGAACCAAGAAATATCTATCTCAGCTTTCTGTCTCAGGAAAAGGAGTTCCAAATAGTGGGGTCATTATGGTTCCTACCATGAATTTTCCTGTGATGAAAAAAGGGGTACAATGAGACATGCATTGGGCAGGGCTTAATCTCTGTCTGATAATTAGACTTTCATTCAGAAAAATATTTTGCCCTCCCTGAACAAAATCATTAATATGAGAACTTGTGTCCATCCAAACACACGATAGATGAACCTTTCCATAACAGGCTGAGACACCAGCTCTGAAGGTTTTATTGACATTACCGTGATCCTTCCATAGGTTGCCAGAAAAAACAGTCCCCAGAGAGCAATTAATACCAGCTTGACCTCATAATTAGGGTGAGCCCATTACACTTACCAAACTGGGAAAAGGAACCTAACGCCCTCTGGAAACAGACAAAGGTAGAGGGAATAAGAGTGACTGTGTTCTCATTCCTATATAATACTTCAGATGTAAGGAAAGATGGCCCTTTTCTCTCCTAATAGCCTCTTTAGATTCTTTCCTCAGAATTCGAACGTTTAAATTCAAGGAAAGTGGCATTCACCAAGCACTGCATAGATGTCAAAATCTAGGTAGAGTTTCATGATGGCAGCAAAACCCTGGATATTTTCAGAAATACATATCTGTATAATAGGTATGTCAGTGTCTATATACAGTGGCTTCCGCTCTCAAGCCCCTTGCATTCTAAGGCAAAAGCTAATATAAGGAACACAACTAGTGGAAAATTCTTGGAACAAGGAATGAACTGTTCAATAGAAACATTTCTGGCCGGACTCATGACCAGGGCATTGGGAAACGGGTCCATTTGTCTGAAAACCGTAAGGGTCTTTCTGAATTTAAATGGATTACTCCCATTGCTGCTGACCATAGGTCCAAGAACTTGTGGAACACCTAGAAAATGTGTCATCACCATTGAGTGGAACTCACCCTGAAGTCACAAATGTAGTTCAAGAATAAAGTCCAGACAAGGAAGTCATGACAGCAGCCACTTAAGGAAACTTGCTGTTACTGGGGACCCATTCTGAGATCCTGGGGAAACAGAAAGGAGTTACAAAAATATTTAGTTAAATGAGACCTTTGAGGCTGCTCTAAGAGCCCAGAAAACTGCCAGCCTAGCGTTGGGATTTAGTGACTGAGGGTATCTCAGAGCAGGATTCCCAGCGGGAGCAAAGCAGGCTCAAGACTGTTGAAACACAGAGAGGCTGGAAGAGGGGCTTCCTGGAGCCCCTGAAGGGCTGGAGCTGGGGAGCCTGGAGCTGGGGAGGGGGATGCATAAAGGGATTGCAGGGAAATGTTCTCAGAAACAGGAAAACATGGCTTGAGACTGGCTTTCTAGAAAAATTAGCAATAAATTTAGAAAATCACATTTCTCAAATGATTTCTTATTCCCTTGCCAATAGAAATGGAACAAAGGCGGGGGAGTGAAAAGTTGCTCAATTATCCAATTATCAAGTTTTCAAATTAAAGCAATAATGAGACAAACATTCCACCTTTGATATTGCCCAAGACTTAGCAGGTTAATAAAGCCTAGTCATGGCTAAAACTGAAGTAAATAGACAAGACTTAGAGCTGGTGGTGGAACTACATATTGGTACAGCTTTTGCAAATGGTAATTTCTCTATCTAAAAAATATAAATGAAGTAAATCTCTGCCATGATTGGTCAATACCAAAAAAAAAAGATAAGTTAGTAATATTAGCAAATATAAATTTATTACTTAGGTAATACTAACTGCTAATACACCTCAAGATCTGAGTGACTTAACAAAATTAAAGTTTATTTCTCACTCATCTAATGAGTACAGTACAGACATTCTGGGAAGCAGGCAGGTTTCTTCCACTCACTGATTTAGAAAACTGGACTTCTCCATTTTACTGTTCTCACCTTCCCTAAGGCTTACAAAACTCATTCATCTAAACGTTTTCTTTGAACAGCCAAACCATAAATATTTTAGACTTTTCACCCACAGTTGGTATCTGCTTCCTCTACATTTTTTAATTATTCTTTAAAAATATAAAATAAAAAATTTAATATTCAAAGTTTTTGATTCAGTAATTATACCAGTTAAATTTTGTTCCAGAGAAACATTCACTCATGAGCACATGCATGAGGATGATCATTACAGCCTTCTTTATAACTGCCTTGTTTACAAAATACCAAAAGCCCATCCAAAATTTCCATGCAAGGGATCATATACCTGCTTACAGAATAAGATTGCTCTAACATGTATTGGTGAAAAAGCAAAGTAATTGCCGAAAAGCATATAATGTTATAGTATGATTTGGTGGGACTAAAAATTGTGAACATGTGTTACATTTTAATATATGCACAGAAAATGATTAGGAGGTTACACTTAAAAATATTTGGAGGTATCAGATTATGAGGGAATATTCATTATTTTCTACTTTAGTCCCATGATGTTTGAATTTGTATTAAGACAATAAATTATATTCATGATTAGAAATTAAAATTCAATATAGAAAAACACCTTTGAACAAGGTAGCCAGATACCAGCTACAAGGGTTCTAGCCAGCACCTCACTTGGGACCTAAGTAAAGAGCAGCGAGTTGAGTGAACATGGTGGTGGACATTAATTCCATATATACACATTTCCTGAATATCTGCCTTCTACTAAGTGCCAAGCCAGGTGCCAGGGATATCAAAGTGTCCTCCAGTCACACCCCAGTTAATCAGAATTCAAAATCTGACAGGCCAGCCCCCAAAGAAAGGGACAGTCTCACAAATCAAGCACCAGTGAGACCTGGCCTAGTCCTTGCTGATGTTCAATCAGCCAGTTCTCAACGGTAAAGCTATTCCAGGTGCTTATGTCTGGCATCTCCTCTGACGAGCACAAACCCATTCTGAGCCCCTGTGCCTGTGCTGTATCTGTTAAATATCTTAGCTATCTGCCCAACGGGGGCCGACACCTCATAGCCCCTACTCCCACAAGTCACGGCCACATTTCACACCTGCTGTTGGGTCTCCATATCTTGTGCCTCCTGATTTGCCCTGCTGGCCTCTTACTGGACTTCCTGACCACTCCTTGGCTCTAGAACCCTGGTGAGACTTTTTCTCCTTGGTTGACTCCTCGATCACTACTTGGAAAACCCAAGCTGGCTTGATACTGCCCAGTTGTCTACTCCCTGCCTCCAAACCTTGCCTCAGGACCATTTCCTTAACTCACCCCCTCAACATAAATAAATAAATAAATAAATAACAAAAAACACCTAAAGACTTGACCTGGGGCTTCCATAGTTTCACTGCCTCCTGCATCCAGTCATACACGGTGGGCCAGGAGCCACCAAGGGAGTCAAGAAGCCCAATCCTCATGTTCCTTCCCTGCCATGAATGAGCTATGTGACTATGGGTCAGGTTGCCTCTTTGAGTCCTTTCTTACTTGTCTATTAAGTTGAGGATGTGGGATCAAAAAAAAATAAGAGTTTTATTACAACAGCATATAATGAGGACCTGGCAAGTCCGAAGACCTGTATAGGGTGAATATGGGCATATAGACAGAGATGAAGATACAGGCACAGACATAGATATAGATATCCTACAATAACCCTATGCAGAAGGAACATTATTACCAGAGGGTTTAAATATCTTTCTCTAGATCACAAACCTATAAGTGGAATTTGTGATATAATAAGGGCATCCAAAGGCCATATTCTTAACCTTCAAACCATACAAGACAGTTGTGACAATCACACAAAAAATAAAAGAATCATGTATACAAAACCCTGATGCACTCTACCAGTGTTGCCACATTTGTAGACATAGTTTAAATAATGAAAAAAAATCAAAGGATTATTCTGAATTACTCTCATATAACACATCTTTTCTTCCTTCTAGAATCTTCCATTCAGCACTCTGACAATATTCCCCTAATGCTCAGTTAAAACAGAAAGATCCATCTACTTCTCAAATGCACCTATAGTTATTTTTCAATTATTCCATCCACTGCACTTTCATAAAGCCATCTCCAATGTATATTGGCATCTGCATCTGGTTTATCTTCTCCCCACACCCTGGCTGCTCAGAGCCTTCTAATGACACCAAAGGTTAAACGTTTGCAGACTCAGTCAACACCCACAACATTAAAACAATTGGATGGAAAGTAATCTCATCTCAACATGCTGGGGGAGATGTGCTAGACGCCCATCAGAGTTAATGGGAGTTACAGCCAAAATCAAGGTGAAGGCTCTGCTCCCTGGGGTACAATGGCAAAGAGCAGAACAAGGAGAGTTCAAATTGGAAAAACTCTGCAACTGCATCAAGGGCCCTAGGAATCTAGGTACCAGATTTTGTGTACATCACGTATCTTTGGGAGTTGATCTCTAGCCTGGGGCTCAGACAAAAGTGGGACTAGTTCTTGCAACCAGCAGCTGTGTGACCTTGACAAAGTTATTAATCCCCATCAGACCTCAGTCTACTGATCTTTAGGAAGGGTGTAACAAAGCATATAATTAACCCATTTGTGATGGGTTATATGGGAGGCTAAATGAAATTATGCAAGCAAAATGCACTGAACAAAGTGAATGCTATATAAGTGAGAGAGGTCTATCATTAGTTTCATTATCATCACAATTAATGCCTTAGATAACTAAGTTTTTTCTCAAGTCAAATTGCTTCCAATAGCGTTAGCATCCACCACAATCACTACCATCCCACAGGTAGTCAGAGTGATTACTTTATCTTCTTCCACACAGTCTTGTTTCATCCTCCCCAAAGCTCTGAAACAGACTTCAACCCCACTTCACAACTGGCAGAAAGGGAGGCTCAGTGAGGATGAGGTGTATGAGTTCACAAAAGAGAGAACCCAGTGGAATAAAACTAGTGCATTTTCAGGTAGGTGGAAGGAATCCTGCAAAAAGGTGACCTGCCCAAGAGAGTAGAGAGAACAGAAATATCAAGTTGGGTATGTTTGGAATGGGGGGCCTTCCAGGCAGGATGGAGAAGGGAAGTGTTTCTGAGGCAGTCTGTGGAGGGGATATGTAGCATATCTGATAAATTATGGACAAGGTCAAGATTTCTATAAATCTTTACACAGGTTAAATCTATGGCCATATATCCAAGTCTTCCTACCTCTTTTCCATTTGTGGCTGCACCATCCTGATAATCCCCAGTGAGATAAAAATTAGTGTGGACCCAAAGAAACTACAAATGTGAACTGTTCACCCAGTCAGTTCAGAAGGTATTTGTCATTTGGGCTTTCATATACGATATTAAGGCAAATCATTATTTGAGACTCCTACCCAGTCAGTACTTCCTGAGCATTAAGGGTGTTCCTCTGAACCAGGAATTCAACATCGACAAAATAAAGTTGCAAAAACCATAAGGAAGGGGAAAAGTAAGTCACGTCTCTTTTAAAATATACCCTGAACACACAGAGGACACTCAGATAGATGTGAACATCGGAGGTGGCGATGAAAGCATTATACAGGGGAAACCTGGGGGAAAGTCAGGTACACACTACATGAGCATTGAAATGCCCACGGACCTCAGATTCTACCATATAGGCTGGGTCCCCAAGAAGCTTCATTTTAATTCTGTTTTAAATACCTCCTTTCTAAGTTTCCTTAGGAGAAGACATCCAAGCCTTGAAGGCACACCCTCCATCTCTTTGTATAGCACCATGGCAAGCTGGTTCCTTGGCCCCCTTATGGGCCTCCTAATGAATGAAGCCCACCTTAAGGAGAGAATTACTTCTCTCTAGAAAGTCAGATGTAAGAAAGGAGCAGAGAGTAAGCCCTGGAGTTTAAAACAGAAAGGAAAAAATATGGCCATGAAACAACAACAAAATTTAGCAACCCAGTCCTGTGGCTAAATCAAAATATGGACATTTGGACAGGAGCCTCTGAACATGGGCCAGCTTCCACACACCACCTCCCTCCCTCTCTTACCACCTGTGACTTGTGGGGGTTACCTTTGGTTCACCCAAAACACAAGACATCACATTACACATATTTACATTTGGCAAAATATAAACCTCAGCTAAAAGTGAAGACCCAAATTACATCTAAAATGAGA